ATAGGATTTTTCGAGGTTGTCAGAACCTGCTGTGGAGTGTTTGTACATAGAACTATCTTGCTGGTGGTTGTTCTGTTCGGAATTTTGACTACTATTTTTGACGATTGACTTTGCACTTTTTCAGATCCCACAATGGCTTTAAAGAAGGTCGGTTGAGTAGTAACCTTCTCATTTCCTTTACCTTCACATCCCAGACCAACTTTGTCATTCGGGATTCTTTCGTAGCTGAGTGTTTCACTGAGACGTACTAAGCCAATAGTTAGCTGTCTGACTCTTTCATTGACATGTTCTAGCTCGGTTCAAAGTTCCAGCATTTGTTTTTCCTTTTCACTTACGTCTTTGAGTAATTTTTCTCTTTCGGTTGCAACTACGGACCTTTCATCTTCAATGTATTCCATCATAGTCAGAAGAGTAACATTTCTTTCTTGTTCAACTTCTAGATTGTCTTTCAGCATTTTGCATTCTACACAAGTGTTGCTGGTTCTATTTGAATCTACATCCAGTAGGTTCTGACCTGCAGATGACGGTAAGTTTGTATCAATAATCGATTGAAGATTTGCTATTAGAGAAGTTACTTGATTATTGTCACTCTTGTCCTCCTCATATGAATTTGACTCTTTATGTTCATAGCTTTCTTGCCCCTTGACTTTTTAAAACTATTTCCACACTCAGTTGCAATGTGCCCGAACCTTTCACACTCATGCCATTGAACTCGTTTTGAGTCTTTTCCACAGATGATGTAGGGAGTTGTTTAGAGTTTTCAAGAAAATTCTTCTTTTGAGGTGATTGAGTTCTTGAACTTCTTCATTTCTTGTTGTTTTTCAGCAATTTTTGAAATTGTTTAGTGAGTATGGCCATCTGCTCATCTTCTTCTTTCTCTATCTCAACCTCCTTGACTTTAAGTACGATCCTTGAGTCTTTTTCTTTCTTTTTTCTGTGAAGGTTTAGTTCATAAGTCATCAAGGATCCGACAAATTCTTCCACCTTCATACTTTCCATGTTCTTGCTTTCCTCGACAGTGGTAACCTTTGAGTGGAACCTATAAGGTAGTGATCTAAGAATTTTTTTCACTATTTTGGTTTCAGAGTATTTCTTTCCCAATGTGTAGGCTGTGTGGTGATGTCATTTAGTTTTGCATCTTTGAATTGTTCATCTTCTCTCATGGTTAATTGCTCAAATTCAAGAATTTACTGTAGTAGTTCCTTCATGAGCAATTTGTATTATATCCCAAGCATCTTTAGTCACCTTTCAAGTAGAAACCAAACGAAATTGATTAGCATCTATGAATGAGAAAATGATATTTAATACTTTAGAGTTCCAACTAGTACTGCTATAATCAGTAGTCACTCACTCATCTGCTCGTTTTTTTCTTTCTTTATCCTCTTCAGTTACGATGGGAGTTTTATACCAATACACAATTGAGTGCCATGCTTTTTCATCTAAAGATCGGACATAAACTTGCATTCTAATTTTTCAATATGAATAATTAGTCTTCTCTAAGATAGGAGGTCTAAATGGGGCACTGTCCATAACTACGTTTAATGTGGATCTCACTTTTAAAAAGTGAACCCACTCTGATAGCAATTGTTAATACTAAAATCTAGTTCATTAAACAATCCATCTCAATTATTCGTTGCAGTTAGAATACGCCAATTAGTTAGAACTTCCAACGGGTAGTTTTACGTACAATTCTGTCTAAAGCGACTCAACAAATTTGTGTTTTGCAAATAATAATTTAGTGCAGAATTAAGTAAAGAAGAACACAGCTATGGCGTGAAGAACTAATCCATTAATCAAGATGCAAAAATACAATAGTTTCGGTTTAGTAATTTCGCAAAATTAACTAAAACAATCAAAAGCAAATGAAGAGCAACTTCCTCGTTTTCTTATTCATTTTAACTTGTTGGAGAAGTCGAATCAAACCCTCCGATCTTGACTTTATCACCACTTTACTATTATATTCGGTCGCAACCTTCACTTGGATTAAGATTCACCAATCTTAACTCAGGCCAAGTGGCCTGATCCTTGAACAGAATTATATCACTCATGCCAGGGTGTGTTCTCTTTGAATATGACTGAAGAACACGAGTTTTGCTTTGAGAGGTTGAGTTGAATCTTCTATCGGTTAGTACTTGCTAAAGTAGGTCACATCGCTTCTGAACATCAAGCTGTAGGTTTGGTGGGTGTATGGAAAATTTTCTCTCAAAACATGTTCGATCCTTAATGTCCCTCTTCACTTATATAAAGATTTCCATGAGGCCCAAACATCTCTCACCTGAAATAATAACGTTATGCACGGTAAGAATCACATAAGATATGATTGGTATGGTCCATAGTTGAATTGAGGAAAGATTTTAAAAGCTAATATAAGCTTTCCTTCTTTTAACTATTTGACCAATCAACCTTGTCCAAGATAGTAAGTAAATATTTTTATATATGCTGTTTTAAGGTAATTAAGAGTTGCACCTTATTTAGGTTTTAGAAACCTTAAAGAAATCGCAGCTAGAATTTTACAAATCTATAGTACCTAATCAGTTCTGACCGATTGACTTATCTGTCTGTGGGCTTTACTTTGCACATGTTTTTGGCACAGTTTGGACACTAAAAACTATTCTAATGTTAACAAACCAATAAATAAAAGATAAGTAAAAATATACCATATATTTTACTTACAAAACTATTAGGGTTGTATCTTTACATCTCTCGCTACCTGAACCTTACTTTCCATTCCTACTCATGCCCCCAGGATCCCCAACCATAGCTGGGTTGATTGGTGAAATGAGATGGCGTTGGTCGGATCTCAACACAGAGAAGTGTAACGTGAATGATAAAATTAATAGTTTTTTGGTATAACTTTTTAATTGCATTAAGGATGTTCAACCTTTGTTGATTATCTTAGTTATTTTTCAATTTTTTTTTTCGTCGTCATATTTTTATCAATCAATCTTTCATTAATTAATATACTTTGTCCTTAATGACGATCTCGTCCAAAGAACCGTTAAGAGGGGAGTAAAATGATTTATTTCTCACCCTTCATTTTTTTATAAAAAAGACAAAAAATACAAAAAACAAAATATTTGCATCTTATTTCAAAGCACGCTAAAAAAAGATTTGGACATAAAGTATGTTATAAACTAAATATGCTAAATAATAGAAAAATGTAGATAATAACACAACAAAAAATTTTAGGACATCAGTACGAAATAAACAAAGATTACAGACTTTTATTGTAATTAAAATGTAATACAAGCAAGTTTGACAAATGTTAAATTATAATTTAATTTGCTCAATAATTTTTATCTATACATTTTGTAAGACTTATAACTTACTATCACATGTTATCTACATGTAGAAGTCAAAAAATAGAAATTATTTTTTAAAGCAAACATAGAATCTCATGTCGGAATTTTGACACGAATTGCCTTTTTTGGGGTTGGTATGTTTTTGTTGACAAAAATAACAATGGAGTTTGTGGAGTTATTTGGCCAGAACGTGCACTTCAATTGAAGAATAATATGATTTTCAAGAGTGCAACTCCTTAATTTTGCCATGATCAGATACAACTATTTTTAGAAAGTAGATGATTGGATATTAGATTTTTAACCCTTCATTAGTTATGCAAATGACCCTAAGACAGTTTTTAGGACTTTTTAGTTATTTTTATGAGCGGATATCCTCTAATCATTATGTTGGAAGTCATGATTAAGTTCAAATTTCAAGGTTTTGTTAAGATTTTTGCTTTTTATGACATTTATTGTGCAATTTGTAATGTGCATCTATGATTTTATTCATTGAAGTCTATGTTGATTATGTCAGAGTTCATGTTTAAATGACTTCTACGTTCGAAGTCAAGCCAAGATCTTCAATAATGTTGTTTGTATAAAACTTCCTTCGAGGGAATCTTACTTGATAAACAACTTGGGTTATGAGATCTTTCGGTGGAGACATATTCGACATTGACTGTTCACTATATCACTCAAGTGGGGGACCATGGGTTATTCAGGATATTCACAAATCAGACACCATTTCTCTTTTGATTAAGAGGCAATTTCTCACATTTATTGAGAAGGGAACCAAATTGTCGAATCACTTGCATCTAAGGGTTCTGACTATCACCGTTACTTAGAACATGGACCTCTTGATCTTTCCAGATACATGCTCTTTTTCAAATAGACAAACGTGACCTTCATAGCTTTAGTGGTCATTAGAAATTTTTACATACTTTATCTTTGTATGAGAAGTAAAATTTTCCTATTTATTTCATATGTTGCACATTTTTTTTTAAATGTTTGGTGCATGTCCCTTTCCGTTTGATTCATACAGGTTCGATATATTACATGTTTGGAAAATCCTAACCCTAATCAACATTTCTTCGTGGAGCCTAAAAATCCAATGAAACTGTGTTTGTGTTTTACTTATAAAAAACAGTCACAAGCATTATAAAAAAAGCACGAAAACTAATTTAAACTCCGTCTGGCAAAATATTAAAAAAAGTTACAAATAACTTCATTTTAACCCTATATTTTAATATACTCTCAAATACAATTCACATATCTCCACTCATTTCTATTTACTTATAAATAATATAGGCTTGTTTGGGAGGGATTAAAATCAGATTAAAATTGAAAATATAGTCGTTATTGTTGACTTTTATTAGACGGGTGAGACCCAATAACGATCATATTTTCAATTTTAATTAGATTTTAAGCCCTCCTGAACGGGGCCTATATTTATAAATCTTTCCCAAATGGGAGCCTAGTAATCAAAATCAATCATAAATTTGGCAATAATGATTTGAAAGAAAATCCAACCACCCTGATTAGTCGTCAAATAAAAATGAACTCATTTCAAGACAACTTCAGCTCAAATGCAGGACAAAACGTGACGACACCTGATCTCGGCCCCAAGTTCGCAAGGCTCTCTCTGTACTATAAATAACACTCTCGGCCAATTCTCTCTCGCTCTCTCGTTCTTTCTGGTTGTGGAATTCGAATCGGAAAATGGGTCGTCTGTTCTTCGGTCGGGTTACGGCCATATACTTCTGTCTCCTTCTGGTCTCGACGACAGTACACTCTTTCTATCTTCCCGGAGTAGCTCCTCGAGATTTTCAAAGAGTATTGCTTCTGTCTCTTCTGCACACATACATCCTTTCGTAAACTTGGAGTTATGCTTTTTGATTTAAATGTTATGGGATCTTTAGATCTAGTAATATGACAGTTGATTTCTTGGGGTTAATTGTTTATCTTTACAAGTTCATTTCTGTTGTCTGCTTGTGTTGTTCGTGAAATCTGTTTTGACTGATGTAGATCTAGAGTTTAGATGTTGGGTGATTTCATGAATTGGATTTGGATCTATGGTTTTGGTTGTTGTGATGTAGTTTTTTAATTTTGTTTTTGAATTTTTCATTAATAGCTTTGATGTTTGATTTGATAGTATGTTTATGTGTGGTCTTGTTATGATCTCTTTATTAGGAGGAAAAGAAAATTCAACTTTCCTGCATTTGACTTTTGATGATAATGATACGAGGATTTGACTTTTCAGTTATAAAATTCCATGTGTTTTTGCTATTGCGGATATGTATTCTATGATAATATGTTGATGACGAAAAATATCTGCGGGGGTAATCCTAATAGATGCAATGACCTCAAAAAATGGAGACTTTCAGTTAGCCAGTCTGGTAACATTGATGTTGTGTTGCTTAAGACAGCCAGGCTTGTGAAGGGGATGTTTCTGGTTGATGCCAACTTGGAAAATCGATTCGCCTCCTGCAATCCGAGTTTGGCATTGTACCAAATTCCTGCTCCCTAATCGAAAATGTTTTTGGTATTTATGGACATCTTTGTGTAATGCATTCATTTACTTTGATTTTGTGGTCTTTATGTTTTTGCTTGTGTTCAGTAATTTCTTGTTTCTTAAACAAGTAAGGTGAAGAGCTTCTTGAATTACGAACCTTCGTATATTCCTTCCATATGTAATGCCCCTTTTTACTTTTATAACAGGGGGATGAGCTTCAAATCAAAGTGAACAAGCTGTCATCTACTAAGACACAACTGCCATATGATTTCTATTACTTGAAATATTGCAAGCCGAAAAAAATCATGAATGTTGCTGAGAACTTGGGGGAGGTCCTTCGAGGTGACCGGATAGAAAACTCAATTTACGCTGTGAGTATCCATGATTAATTTGTAAGGTTCCCTTGTCTAAATTGTTGTATGAAACATGAACATTAATATGGGCACGGATGACACTTAACTATTCAAACAAAACTAGGATGCAGAATTTTTTTTCAGAATCTTTATATTTTTGTATTATTATCTGCATTTATTCATAAAAGGAACCTAGCCTTATGACTCGGACCCAATCTCATTGGTTTACTTTTTCATTAAAATACATACTTTTAAGTTTTTTTATTCCTTTGGTGATTGAAATATTTTGAATTTGAGAAGTGGTTATTTGTTGTATTAAGATATGTTTTTGTTGAATTTACTAGTTCCACAGAAAGAAAAAATGCATATAGTGCATATAAAGCAAATTCAACCTAAAGTTCGTAGAGTTTTGCTCATATTATTTAATTTTCTTATTCAAATGTTCAATAGATATAATATCCCTTGAGCTCATTTGTTTCTTATTTTTCATCCATAAAAATGAAATATATGACCGTTATTCATCACATCAAGCCATCAATTTTGAATTTCTATCTCTTGTGTGGGGCCCAATAACGGTTATATTTTTCATTCTCATTCTACAATAATGAGAATCAAACGGGCTCCTAATTTATATTCCTAAAATTTTCAAAATGGTCTAGTAGTGCTGAGGACATATGTCGCAAGACTGAAATGAAAAAAAAAATATGGCACAATGCAACATGGTGTTTAATGAAGTGTCCTTACTTGTTAGGAAGTTTAAAACATATATATAATAAATAGGACACTCCATGTGCATGAACATGTCAGACACTGTGCTTCAACAAATATTGATATTTGTTTCTAATTTAGACTAGCTTGTTTGTTTAATGCTAGTTTAACATGAGGGAGGAACAGCCCTGTAAAGTGGCTTGTAAAGTTAAGCTTGATGCTGATGCTGCTCAGAACTTTAAGGAAAAAATTGATGATGAATACAGAGTCAATATGTAAGTGTTCGAGTGCATATTCATTGTCTTTTCTCTTCCTTATTTTATGATCGTTATTAATCATCATATGAGAATGATAGCTCTGAAATTGTTCTTTCACTAATATATGAAATATGAATGCAGGATTTTAGATAACCTTCCAGTAGCTGTTCGTAGACAGAGGCGAGATGGAAGTCCATCAACAACTTATGAACATGGTTTCTATGTTGGGTTCAAGGGGAATTATGCTGGGGTTTGTTGCAGTTCGTAATTATCTTTTTGGAAGATAAGTAAATTTCTTTAATTAGCTTAACATATTTACTTGATTCTGCAGAGCAAAGAGGAGAAGTATTTTATTAATAATCACTTAAGCTTCAGAGTCATGTACCACAGAGATCTTGAAACTGATTCTGCTCGAATTGTTGGGTTTGAGGTTACTTCAAACAGGTTCTCTGCGTTCCGCTTATGACTTCTGCAGCGATTTCCTTATGCATGTGCATCTCAATTTAAGGGTTTGGCAATAAGAATTTCTTTGCACCTATCATTATTAGATAATTTGAGTCAGTTGTAAATTTTTTGGATCATAAATTTAAAAGCCACGCGGAAGTTTTTCTTTTATGGAGTTGGCCTTCTTATTAAATCCATATGTACAGTATTAAACATGAGTACAAGGAGTGGGATGAGAAGAATCCTCAGCTCTCAACATGCAATCAGGACACCAAAAATATAATTCCGGGGAGCACTGTTCCACAAGAAGTTGATACAGACAAGGAGGTTGTGTTCACTTATGATGTTTCTTTCATGGTAACTCTTTTTGTAAACCTTGTGTTCCCTTCTGATTTGTGGCTTTTTTTCAATGTCGCTTTGGAATTAAATATTATATCTTCCTTTTGTAGGAAAGTGATATAAAGTGGGCATCCCGCTGGGATACCTACCTTCTCCTGAATGATGATCAGATCCACTGGTTTTCTATCATCAATTCTCTGATGATCGTCCTCTTCCTTTCTGGTATGGTTGCCATGATCATGATGAGAACTCTGTACAGAGATATTGCAAACTATAATCAGTTGGAAACCCAAGATGATGCTCAGGAAGAAACAGGATGGAAACTTGTTCATGGTGATGTTTTTAGAGCACCTACAAATTCTGGATTGCTGTGTGTTTACGTGGGGACGGGGGTTCAAATCCTCGGAATGACACTTGTGACAATGATGTTTGCACTGTTGGGTTTCCTCTCACCTTCCAACCGTGGTGGGCTTATGACTGCCATGGTTCTTTTATGGGTTTTCATGGGCTTGATTGCTGGTTACTCATCAGCTCGTCTATACAAAATGTTCAAGGGCACCGAGTGGAAGAGGAATACCTTAAAAACTGCTTTCATGTTTCCTGGTATTCTGTTTGCTGTTTTCTTTGTTCTGAATGCTCTTATCTGGGGAGAAAAATCATCTGGAGCTGTACCCTTTGGAACTATGTTTGCTCTTGTGTGCTTATGGTTTGGAATATCAGTTCCGTTGGTTTTTGTCGGTAGTTATTTGGGTTTCAAAAAACCAGCCATTGAAGATCCAGTGAAGACAAACAAGATCCCAAGGCAGATACCCGAACAGGCATGGTACATGAAACCTATGTTCTCTATTCTTATTGGAGGCATCCTTCCATTTGGGGCTGTTTTCATTGAGTTATTCTTCATATTGACTTCCATCTGGCTGAACCAGTTCTATTACATCTTCGGTTTCCTCTTCATTGTCTTTGTGATTTTAATAATCACATGTGCAGAGATAACAATTGTTCTCTGCTACTTCCAGTTGTGCAGTGAAGATTATCATTGGTGGTGGAGGGCTTACCTGACTGCTGGTTCCTCGGCTTTATACCTTTTCCTGTACTCTATTTTTTACTTCTTCACTAAGTTGGAAATTACCAAGCTCGTTTCTGGCATTTTATACTTCGGATATATGCTAATTGCTTCATATGCCTTTTTTGTGTTGACGGGAACCATTGGCTTCTGTGCTTGCTTCTGGTTTGTTCGGAAGATATATTCCTCTGTGAAGATCGACTGATGTAAAGAAGGGAAAGAAAGTGGGAATATGGTAGTAGTACGGAAAGAATGACTTCAGGATGGTTATGGAAGAGCAATTAGATCAGTTATCTCCCTATAGGAAGGATAAGAGCTTGAAACTACGTAAATTTTCCCAGCCTGTTTTTCATTTTCTGGTGGCTTGTATTTTATTCTTGTTCGATTTTCTTCAAACCAAAATCATTTTCATGGACTTTAAGACGTAGAAGAATTTCCACTTGAAGAGACCTTGGTTGTATTGGAACTCTTCCGATTATTCATTAGTACCAATGCAACTGTGGCTCGATAAATTTTGTTAATTTTTCTTTGCATAGTTATTATTTCAGAAAGCCCTCTCTTGATGAGTGTTTCCTTTTTCTTTAGTTTTGTTATTCTTATCGTGTTCTATTTGAGATGTGGACAATAATGTTATCCAGGAAGGTGGATTTTGATGGAAGAAGGCAGACTTTGTAGACAGGAGCTAGCGTTAACTGTCTAGCGTCATGTGCCTTACCTGTTGTCATGTTTATTTGTGCAATTTTTTGCTCGCTGTATAGTCAGGATGTTGTCAATTTTGATATGGTATTTTCTTAGCTGGTGAAAATTGATCTTCGGTGCTTGGTATATTCCCGATACACAGTTGCATAAGGTTATGAACGGGTAATCAGCACGTAATTTTCACACCTTTCACTATTATTATGAAAAACGTTTTACCTTTCATTTTTGGTATTTTCACCTTTTATTGCACAAAATGTATTTTTCATTCATTTTTTCAATTAAAAATTGTGAAATGATGAATATACACTTCTCTTTACATAAAACAAAAAGAAGAAAGAATTAATTGTAATTATAATCCCAATTTTTTTAAAAAGCGGAAATGAGTCTCAAATGAATTTTTTAATGGTAATTAACACATAATCTCCATATCTTTCACTATTATTGTGAAAACGTGCAAACCTTTCATTTTTTTTTTTTTTTTTGCATTTTCACCATTAATTACATCTATGATTGCTTAAACAATCATTTATATCGATTTTCATCTAATTTTTCAAAAAAGAGTTGTGAAATGATAAATATACCATTCTATTGCAATTTAAAAAAAAAAATAAAGAATTCATTGCAATAATCATAGTTTTAAAAACGGGACCGGACCGGCCGGTCCAGATTGGGAACCGCCGAACTGGCCCTTGATCCGGTCCGAGCCAGCATATTTTTTAAGTATGCAGCCAGCCCGCTAACAACCCGGCTAACTCGGCGGGTTTCCACTAAACCGGTGGCCCGAAATTCGTGCAACCCGGTTGGTCCAATTGCGTGAATAAAAGGCTCTAATTCCTAAAACCCACAAGGCAAAACTCATTCCCATTCCAGAAGAGGTCGACGCCGTAGCAGCCAGCGGATAGAAATCGAAGCCTCCCAAGAATCCAAAGTTTGAATTTCAAGTTGTATTAGATGGAAGAAGATGATGTAAGTCGAAAATTTAAATGCGTAATTAAAGGTAAAAATGTCAACAAAATGAAATGTATGAACATTTTTCACAGTAATAATAAAAAGTAGAGACATTATGTGTTAATTACCCTTTTAATAATTTATTTGGGATTCATTTACACTTTTTCAAAAATTTGGGACTATAGTTGCACTTAGTTTTTTCTTTTTCTTTTTGTTTTATTTAAAGAGAATGATATATTTGTCATTTCACAATTTTTAATTAAGAAAATGGATGAAAATGATCTTTGCGGATTGAAAGATAGAAATAAGGGTGAAAATGCTAAAAATGAAAGGTAATAATGTTTTCCACAATAATAATCTAAGATACGGATGCTATGTGTTAATTATTGTTATGAATAGAAGAAAATAAACCATACGCCCCTCGGAAGGACGCGATATAACCGTCTCTACAAAGTCCATGCATTATGTAAATATCCATACAAGGACTTGAGGGATTGTTGTTATGGGTCTTCTGGAGCCCTCCACCTTATTCGCCCACCTCATCGGACATGTGTTGTACGAACCGATTTGGTATTGTCACGTGGTAAACGAACTGAATGCATGTAGGACAAACTAATTCCATAAACTCCGAAGTGAGACACTGCAATTCCACCTCGTAGAAGAGTCGAACTCATCCGCCATTCACGATGGGTGCAAAGGCCCGCACTTCATGTTTTCTTCGCCTCGCCACTTCTCTATCAAGATCTTTTCTGGGATCTTCAGTCAAGTTTTGATGGGATGTGTGGCAGGCTACAAACGGTCAACTCAGCGGGAACGTCAAAAACTATTTAATGCCCGTCAACTTACGGATTGACACCTATGCGACGATGATTCACACGGGATCTGAAGCCATGTGTCACTTCATCCAACGGGCCACCTCTTCTCTTTCCTAGTATAAATATCCCGTTACTGGTAAGAGATGGGGAGGGGAGGATTTTTGGTGAGCTTTACATCATAACTTTCAACACATACACCTAAACATTCCGGTGACCATCTCGCCGCAGGACATAACTTCCTGATTAGTTGAAACACGAACTTGACTGTCGGAGTGCTCGCGGCTGCTTCCAACCTCCACCGGAAAAGGCCACGAGTGACTAATGGTGTGCTGGGAGAAGTTAACGTGAAGACTTATCCTATTGGCCACGTATTCGAGCCATTTTTTTAGGGTCAACAGATTGGCGCCGTCTGTGGGAAGCTACTTTAACCACGAGTATTCCCTCGAAAAAGCTCGTTTGATTACCCGGTCGACATCCTCCCTTGAAAAATGGATTGATTCTTGAGAAAGTATTAGAAGTTACACAAGGCTGCACTCTTGGCAAGGATATTCATTTCGAATTATGAGTTCCAGTAATGAAGAGGTGAACTCAAGGAGAACAAATGAAGTCTTTGAAGAAGAGATTATCCAAACAAATGTCACACAGCAGCGACCCTACCATCGGTATCGTAGGGACGGTCGAACTGCTGCACGATTGACTGCCGAAGTGGCCCACATCGCCGCCAACATGAAGGACATAGCTGCCCAGAATGCAACCATGCAGGAGTTCCTCATGCAAGTACAAAATTACGGTGGTTTTCAGGCCCCCCAAACCCTCAACAATCAGTCCATAGGAGAACAGATGCGGAGTCCAGCAGAAGAACTCACGTGAGTACTTAGGGAAAAGTCTCCATGGAAAGGGAGGTGGGGATGGACACTTCCAATTACACTGCCGCCCAAACTGGCGATGCCCCTGCTGAAGAAGAAAATTTTCCTCATGATTATGAGGAGCGGCCCCAATAGTCTGTGAGTGTTTTCGATCGGATCGGACGAAGGCCGAGAAATAGGAATTAGTCCTATCAAACAGCTCGACAGCAAGAACGCCCACAGAGCCAAGAGGCCCAGGCCCCTCCACCTAGGAATAGGCGAGAGAGATGAAACCTGGTAGATTGGGGGAACCAAGACAGAACTGCCCAACATCCACCCCGTCCCGCGGCAGATGGTCTGACAGACCTTGTCAATCTTTTGAGTTGGATGATGACGATGAAAACCTCCCATTCTCCAAGGAACTCCGCAGTTTTCCTATGCCACATAACTTCGTTCTCCCCAAAATCCCGAAGTATGAAGGAAAAGGAGACCCGGAGAAACACCTCAACAAGTATAAACCGCAAATAAGCCTTCGAGGGGCCTCGCCTACCCTGAAATGCAGGGCCTTCCACCTAACACTTAGTGGCTCAGCTGAGGTGTGGTACAGTAGATTGGCACCTCTAAGCATCTGGAGCTGGTCGGACCTTTAGAAGGCATTCTTGAACCAATACTTGTCAAGAAAGGAGGGAGAACCGCCAATTCAGTGCTTCCAAGATATGATGCAGGCGACGGGGAAAACCTTGAAAAGTTACCTCGCCCGTTTCACTGATAAAATTATCTACTGTGAGCAGGTGATGGATAAGGAGGCTCTCTCAGCCATGATGGGGAGATTGAACATGAGTACTCTGTTTTGGAGAGATGTCAGAAGCAAAAACCCATCAACCTATGACGAGCTGGTAGAGATGATGAAGATTGACATCGTCAATGAGGAAATGATTGACCATCGGAACAGAGCAGCTCAAGGACTTCCTCTGCCCCAAAGACAGATCAGCAAAGGGCCTACATCCCAGATAGTAAGTCAGCAATGGACTTAGGCCGGGCACCCCGTGGCTCCTACTTCAGGAGGCGTTGGCCACTGCCACATTGAATGCCATACCACCGCTGGCCAGAGAATGCTACCTTAACTCCCTGAGAAAAAGTTGAGCCACTGGTAAACATGGTGTTCGACACAGAAATGTTAGAGGCCCTGAATAACAGCCCCAACGTCAAATTTTATAATGACAGAAGCCCGACCTGACATATCCCTGGAAGAATTGGATCCCTGAGTAATCGAATCAGAATCACAGACTGTCCCCATGGAGGAACTGGAAAGTTTCCCAGTGGACCCGCAAGATGTAACTAAGGTCTTTCAGGTCGGAAATGAGTTGGAAGAAGAAACAAAGGAATAACTAAAGAACTTTCTTTGAAAGAACATAGACGTCTTCGCATGGAAACATGAAGATATGATTGGAATAGACCTAAGGGTCAGCGCCACCATTTGCAGATCGACCTGAACTGTACTCCGCATCGATAAAAGTGAAGGGCATTCAATGCCGAAAGGTACGAAGCCCTGAAGAAAGGAGTGGAAAGATTAGTTGCCAATGGCTTCATTAGAGAAGTGGATAGCCAATCCTGTACTTGTGAAGAAGCACAATGGCAAATGGATGGTATATATTGATTTCTCCAACGTCAATCAGGCCTGCCCAAAGGATAGCTTTTCGCTTCCCCGAATAGACCAGTTGGTTGACTCGACTGCGGGGCATGAATTACTGAGCTTCATGGATGCCTACTTTGGCTATAATCAGATCCCCCCAGGAGACGAAGACAACACATCTTTCATTACTGACATGGGGATCTACTGCTACCATGTGATGCCCTTCGACATGAAAAATGCTGGGACAACCTATTAAAGGTTGGTAAATAAAAGTTTAGTAATTAGCTCGGTAGTACGATGGAAGTCTATGTTGACAACATGTTAGTGAAAAGTCTCCAAGCGAGGGAGCATATAAAATACCTGGACGAAGACTTTCAGATGCTAAATAAATATCATATGAGGCTGAACCCTCTCAAGTCTGCTTTTGGTGTAGCCTCAGGTAAGTTCCTGGTCTACATAGTGAATTGATGGGGAATAGAGGCCAACGCAGAAAAGATCAGGGCATTAGTTGAAATGAGATCTCCTAGAAGCCCAAAGAAGTGCAATAGCTTACTAGCAGGATAGTCGCACTCAATCGCTTCATCTCAAGGGCCACTGAAAAGTGCTTGCCCTTCTTCAAAACCCTCAAAGGGAGGAAAGATTCCAATGAATCCCGGAGTGCGAAAAGGCATTTCGAGAGTTGAAAAATTACTTGGGACAGGCCCCCTATTGAGTAAACTAAAAGAAGGAGAGCCCTTTTTGTTATATTTAGCAGTGGATG